CCTATTTTTGTCCCAGAATCTCAAATAAATCTTTTTTTTCGCGTTTCAATTGGGTCCTTATTTTTGTAAAATTTAATCAAATTGGGGCTTTCCGTCAAATTGAGAAGACGTCGTTAAGGAGGGTGTTACGTGGCATGCTGACAGTGTCTTTTTAAATGATGTGGCATTAAAAACGCGTTTGAAGTGTATTTTTTTAATTTTTGAATTAAAAAATGAAGTGGGACAAAGTGGTCAAAAGAAATTAAATTAAGTGTAATAGTTCCTTTATGTGCAATTACCAAATCGAAATCAGATTGGGAGAAGATCGGGGCTTCGAATTAGGGTTCATGCGAGAACAATGAAAATCGAAATTAACACGGAGTAGAAATGTATGCAGATGAAAACGCAGTTGAGCTTAGCGTTAATCTGGAAAAGTAGAAGGTGATTACACTAAACTTGCATAAAAGGGTTGTTGTTGATAAATTGCAAGCAAAGCATATTGTTCTTGTTGGATTATTTGATCCGAGGGAGTGAGTGATGATTGTTGATTCAATTGAGAAGAGAGAATGATTGTTCAGAATTTATTACAGAGAAGGAAAAAACGTGGACTCAACGGTCCCTTCTCTCTCTACAAAGTTCCACTCAAACAAAAACAAGAAAAAAAAAACACTATCTCTTCTCTCTCGTTTTTTTTTCAGTTTTTTCTCTCTTTTTCTGTAGTGTTCATTGGAGATGGCAAACTTCCACCGTAACAACGTCGAGAACGTGGTACTTGGCCACCACCGTTCCAAGAGCACCTCTGTCGCCAGTGGCCACTTCCGCTTATGGCACTCCCTCTCCACCACCTGCTTATGCCACCTGGTTTTCAATGTCATCAGCTACAACGCCAGCTCCCACTATGCCGAGAGATCAGACACGTACTCCGAGAGACACCACCACCAACCGAAACAACAGCATCGGCACAAGATGAAGCCGAATAACAAAGATTTGTTGAACCTAGCGAGGGTCAAAGCTGACACGAAAACGAAGAAAAAAGAGGACAAACTCAAGGAGCTGAAGAGCCTAGTAGAGAAGCTTCTAAAGGAAGATGAGATAGAAAAAGAAGAAGAATCAACGACGCAAGAAAAGAAGTTGCTTCGAAAGTGAGGTTGCTAGCCAAAGAGGATTTGGAAGTATGCAATTTAATGTTTAATTCATTTTTACAAATTTCTTTTCTTTAAAACAAAAAAAAATAAAGATTAATATGTCACGTTAACCTAACACTAATACTATTAGGCTCAATTTGACGAAAAGTCTCTATTTTATTCAATTTTACAAAAATAAAGACTCAATTAAGACACGAAAAAAAAGGAAAACTATTTGAAATTTTAGACGAAAATAGGAACCTAAAGTTACATTAAACACACACACACATATATATATATATATATATATATATATATATATAAAAGAAGGGGGGGAAAAGAAGGAAATAATACATCAACATTATATGAAATTATTTATAACATAGGAAAGTAAAAGTAGTATTCTTCTCAATTGCATAGCTCATTCTTTGAATGGTAAGTAAATGTAACTTATTAATACTTTTTTTAATAATTTATACCTAAATAATTAGTAAGCTACTAACTTTTATAATATAATTCTCTCAATTTGTATTCATAAGTATTATAGTAAAGAATGACTTCAAGAAATAGGATCTCCCACATCAGGATGGTGATGAAGAGATTTATAAAGAGAGGAATAAGTAAGAATAAACAAAAGGCAACACTTGAAATCAAAATCAAAAGATTTTTTTGTTTTTCACAATTAGTGAGGATAGACAAGAGGCTGCGCTTGAAATTAAAATAAAAAAGATTTTGTTCCTTTGACACTATTGAAGATAGATCCTAATTTTGATGACCGATGCAATCTCTTTCATTATCTTGTTATGAATCACTCAATAAGAAATAAGTTGATCCTACAAGAGCATAAAACTTAGTTTATTTGCATATAATTTACACGTTTTGACTAGATAAAATGAAGAATACAACCAAGATAGCAATAAAATGGAGATGCATGGGATGACTTTGACGACATTGGAAATCCTAGAGTGATAACATTATTTCTTAATGAACCAGATATAAAAACTATCTTAATTACATATGATAATCAAGAAGATGAAATTGATATTATTCCTAATTCTAGACAATATAGATAATGATTTACAATTTTTATTTGATGAATGTGTAAAAATATAGTTTGTTAATAATTCATATATTGAGTTTAATATATTTAACATATTCAATTTAAATAATATTTATTAATAATTTTTCAATTAGAGTATATTTAAAACAAATTATAATAACATCATATATTTTTTAATATAAAATGAATTGTCATATCAGAAACCTATTCTATCCTATATTTTCTAAGATAGGACAAATCAACAACATATCCAATAGATGAAAACTTATTGAGATATAATTTCCAAATTATAGTCAAAATATACTTTGAAAACTGAACGACATTTTTCTAAAATATTGAAAGTTACCAATAATATAATAAGTTCTCATTCGAAAAAATAGTCATATTATAGCCAGAAAGATACCATCCAATAACTAATGCAACCAAATTAGGACAAAATAACTTCCACAAAACTGATATTTTAAAAATTAAGTAGCAAATAAAAGTAACATAAAATTGATTCAGCATACATTAAGCCTTTTTTTCCAATGACTTGCACTCAAGCTCGGACAGGAGCTCCTGCACCAGCAGGACGAGGTGCTTGACCAGGCTGACCAGGCCTTGGAGCATCATCCTGTTAAATATAATAAATCACCAAAACGGTCAAGAGAAGGTGTTACATTAATTCTTCAATCAGAACAAATATACATAACAATCTATCAACAATGACTAAAAGATGCAAATACAAAAGTCACCAGAGTTTATTCATACAAATATAGCACATTTTCCTACTGCAAACTAAATGTCAAATGAATTCTCCTTGTACATCCAAAAGAGACTGAATTTTCTTTAACCATCAACTAACTCATTGATACATCAATCTCCCAAAGGGCCAAATACAGTTTATTCATACAAATATAGCACATTTTCCTATTGCAAACTACATGTCAAATAAATTCTCTTTGTACATCCAAAAGAGACTGACTTTTCTTTAACCATCAACTAACTCATTGATACAACAATCTCCCATAGGGCCAGATACGGGTATCTATACTGAGTTCTGGTTCGTCCAGATCAAATGTAACCGTAGCAAAAAGACACAAGTTTAATATTCTTATTTTAAATCTTAAAAACTGTTCACTGTATTGTCAAACTAATCCACAATATCAAGATTAAACAACCAGTGTTGCCTCTATATATACTAACTTTGATAGTAATTAAGCACTAAAGCAATGAAATTACTTAGGCAATCCAGGAGTACTGAACATCTAGCCTCTAATCTTTAAGCTGATGATTTTTAGCTACCCAATTTGAAGGGTTTTAAATTTGGGAGCTGCTCAAAATGATTTCTAATACTTTTTAGTTCCAAATAAAATTCCCGATATCACTGGCTAATTGGGATATGGGAAGGTAAGACTCAAGCTCCACCACGGAACAGAAGCAAGGCAAGCCGATGGCGATTGCACAATGGAACTAAGATTAAAGCTGTACACAAAATATACGACGTATCCTCTCGGTTTGAAAATTATCAAATGTAGCACAGGCTAGGTTCAGTGTCGAATTTAAAAACATTCAAACAATGGTACCTGCTCACATCAAAACAAGATTCTATCTGAACTGCACTTGAGTAAATAACAAATTGTGAAATCATAACATTAAAACAACACAGGATTACATTGGATAAAAACAGTGGCAACGGGGCAAACAGGAAAAGGATTATATATAGTTACCCTGCGCCTGATGAATCGCTGAGGAGGGTCACGCTTCCTCCTGTCCGTGCGGGATCGAACCCTAACAACGTGAGAGTGAATGGCACAGGAAACACAGTACTGCATCTTTACATACAATTTGGGAAGCGTGTATTCTACACATAACAATTAAAAAGGCAAAATAAATAACATAATCGTAAGTGGATTTTCCCAACAAGAAGGTGAAGAATATTATTATTACGTTCATAGACGCAAGCCTCTTGCACATCTCTAACTGCAGCCTGCTCAACAATGTTCCTCACCAGAAATCTCTTGATAGCCTTGTCCTGTTTTGATTTTGCATAGAGCACAAAATCTTAATTACAATCCTATACGGGAATTTGAAGGAGGGAGGAAGTGAAATCAAAACCTTAGGGCAGCATTTGCCGCAGTTGGAGCATCGGATGAATTTGACGTGGCCGCGGCCGTGCTTGTTGCGGCCTCCATTCCTGCGCTTGAATGTCTGCAAGAGAATGACATCCAAATATGAGAAAAACAAAAAGGAAAAAGAAGGTTCTAGAATTGCAGAAACGGAGATCCAACCATGGTGGTTAGCGGGAAGACGCACGCTTTCCTTCTCTAGGGTTTCTGTACAGCGGCTGGTATAGGTTTGAGAACAGCATAATCAGTTTTTATATGAGGTTGTTGTTGACTAGTTTTGTGTAGTCCATTGCTCAATTAAATTAAAACTAAAAAATACGTTAAATTAATGTTTTTTTAAAATTACAATAAAATAT